GGACCGAAGTGAATCGTGGGGACCTGTTCCAGGTGTGGGGTTAGGTTTAGGACCAAGGTTTAGGTTAGTTTTAGGGTCAGGTAAGTTTCTGTGAGGTTAATTTTAGAGTATATGGTCAGGGTTAGGATATAAAGTCCAAAAAACATGAATGGAAGTCAATGGAAGGTCCCCACGGGGTCAAGAAACAAACATGTGTGTGTGTTAGGAAAATAAAAGCAGGAGTGAGCGTTTTTAAATAAGCGATTTGTCACAACCATTGTAAAAACTCACCTGAAGCGATGGCGATGAACGAAATAATCACAAGTAGGAAATTTCCAAAGTTCATCTCAACGCTCATCTGATGCCAAACCCTTCAGAGTCTGCAGCCTCTTCACTTTCCACTTAACTGATCAATTAAGCCCAATTTCCGCCCACTAAACTCTAGGTTTTGAACTAAAAGTGAGAAAGGGAAAAAAAAAAAAGTCCAGAAAAAATGAGACCCAGCTGGAATATTTCAAGCGCGTCAAATAATAATAATAATAATAAAAACTTTCATGTCACTCCCAAAAACCTAAGGCAGCTGCAGCAGCAGCAGCAGCTGCATCATCCCGGAGGAAGACAAGAACTAAACTCAGCAGCATCACTTCTTCCTTCCCGCGTGCAAGCACGAGCATCACCTTCTTCTCTGAGGATGCTGCTGACTAAATCGACACAAACATTAAAAAAAAAATGAAGAGTGAGGGGGAACTGAACTACATTTAAGTCCGGACATAAGAGTATCCCCCTCTCCTCTGAGCGCTGTGATCCGGCCAGCTGCGCCGCAGAGTGGATCTGAGGAGCCGCACGCGCCGAGCGGAGCGAGCAAATCCTCCCCAACCTCCAGGAGAGAGGCTGATTTAAAGAGACAGTCCTCACAAGCCAAGACAGGGAAACAAATAAACCCAAACACAGACACGATTACCCCTCCTGGTGGAAATACTGTACATATTGTTTTCTGACAGGACTGACAATTGACTAGTCTGAGGAAACCAAATTCAATGTTTCAGAAAATCTTTTCTTATTTTGTAGATTTCCAATTGAAAATAATTTAAATGCACATCCTAATTTTAACATTTAAAAAATCCTAAAATTCAAACATTTCCATTACATAAATGTTGGTCAAGTTTGATCTTTTTATGATAAAGTTTGCAGAATTTTTTCAAAAAAATATTTAAAGAATGGTAAATGGACTGAACTTGTAGAGCATTTTATCAAGTCCCTCCAGACCCCAAAGCGCTTTACACTCACAGTCACTCACACATTCACACACACATTCACACTCACATTCACACACACATTCACACACTGATGATGGCAAACTACAATTGTAGCCACAGCTGCCCTGGGGCACACTGACAGAGGTGGGGCTGCCATGCACCGGCGCCACCGGACCCTCTGACCACCATCAGTAGGCAAGGTGGGTGAAGTGCCTTGCCCAAGGACACAACGACTGAAACAGCTGGATGGGGGATCGAACCAGCAACCTTCCGGTACCAGGACGACTCCCCTAACCACTCCGCCACAGCTGCCCCAAGAAAGACACCATGGTCCATTTGTGTTTCTTTTATTAACTCTATGCCAAATTTATTCTGTTATTATAAAACATAGGCTCAACTAAAAAAAAGGGAGTGCTGCAAATTATAGGCAGCAAAAACGTGTCAAATCAAGGCCCGTGGGCCAAATGTGGCCCACCATGRCTTTTTATGTGGCTCACAAGAGCTTGGAAGATGTATTAACATCTTTAAAATAAGTGCATGCTGCTTTAAAGCCAGAATTGACCATAAACTACACCTCCCAGTGCATGCTGATTATTTTACCTGCAAAACAACAGAATCCCACCGTAGGTGGAGGTGCACTGGCAAAATTCACTGTGTAAAATTTGATTTTCACTGCATTTTTGCAGGCTACTTTTGCTGCAGCCCAGTTGTACTTGGAAGTGGTAAATTCTCACAAGTTGTAAATTTAAACTGGGATGCCTCTTTAAGTGGGAATTCCCTGTTGGAAAGTGAGTTCAAGATGGCGGCTCTCCACAACTCAACAGTGAGTGAAACTCTCTTACTTTTACTTTGATCGTGTTTCTGTGTTATTTATTTCACATTCAGTCGTAAACATGCTTTTCAGTAGAGGACATGGTGAAACGTTGTTTCTATGCAGGAAATGCCACGTAGAGCTGAGTTGTTTGTTAGAGGTGCGAGGAATGTGATGTTTAGTCGAAGTTAAACATGAAACAGCAAAGTTGATAGCAACTGTCCCTTTTTGAAAAAGAGTTTGACACCCCTGGTGTGTGTGCTATTTGTGAACACTATATTTAAACATTAAAAATGCCCTGCGTTCACAAACTGTTTTTATTTTCCCTATCAACAGCAGCATCGAAGCACCGCCATAATTTATTTGATTACTGATGACGATGCTAGGTATCAGCACTAATGCGTCCTCTTCTCTTACACCCGCCCTGCAGTTAAGCTTCAGCTCTAAAATTCGATGATTTATCCAGCAACTGTTGTTTCACACCCACTGCTCCACAATCTGGCCCCTTGGCATCTTCTGGTGCGTACTCGCTGAGAGTTGTGCACGCAAACAACTCCCCAGGGTGGGGGTAAGAGTTCAGTGTCTCTCTCCTCAAAACACTGACCAGTCTGGTCCCTCTGCAGTTGCCCCCTCCCTCCTCCTCATTGTGTTSATGTCAGGCCGCAGGAGTTCAACATGATGGAGAGCGACTTCCTGATCAGACGCCTGCTCCCCCTTTGTGTCTCTGAATAGGACCAGAAATTGGGTAACAGAAAAAAGGGGTCCAGATGTCTTTTTCTAAGGTGCGACACAAAGAGAGAGGCCCACAACGTCCTCRGTCTCACTTTGAGTGGAGGTGTGGACCTTATTAAGGGCCACAATGGCTGAACTGGCATGAAATAAAGTCATTTTGACTGGAGGCTGGCTGCAGTTGTAAAGGCGTCAAATGGAAATAGTGCTCTTATTTTGAACAATAAACTTTAAAACAACTAAAGCTTCTCAGCAGGGATTGGTTACATTTGATGCTTAGTCATGTATAGATAAAACCAATAGTTAATTTAAAGGTCACATGCTTTTCCTGTTGGCTTATTTCATTTCACTAAATTCAAACCCATGGTATATTTCTGGGTTAGTCAGAGTATGATACAAAAACTGATGATCTGACTCACAAACACATTAACCCCAATCAAACAGTTGAAATGTCGTTTTAATGTGCAATAATGAATTCCCCAGAAAAAAATCAGTCTGATGGAACCAAGAAAGAAAAATGAGAACAATTAAGTTTAAGAGGTTTGATGGTGGAAGCTCGTACAAAGCAAAGTGAAGGGTTTGGTTTTTACCAGCCTAAGTTGAAGCTGAAACTGCAAACATTTGGTTTGGTTCTGCTATCGTTGATGCAATTAAATATAATATTACAGCTAAACCGTCTTAGCAAACATGAATAGATATTTATAGATACAGCGGGTAAAATAAGTATTGAACACATCACCATTTTTCTCAGTAAATATATTACTAGAGGTGCTAATG